GGCAATTTTCCTGCAAAAAAAAAACAAACACAAATGAAACTATTCCAATGAAAATAAAAAGAACAAAGTGAAAATGAAATTACGCAAACAACCTGAAAAGAAAATATTAACTAAAAATGCAAGAGACAAACTAAACGGGACACAAATATTAAACAATTCACCCAAACAATAATCACAAGAAGAAAATAACACAACAAAACAACAAAGACTAAAATAAACCTAGAATAAAAACTATAACTACCCAACACACAAAGTGAAAGCACGTTGCTCCCCGGCAACGGCGCCAAAATTTGTTAGACCGATCGTCACAGTCTAAAAATTAAACCTAATACCGTAGTAGCGGTAAACAGGATCGAATCCACAGGAGCAACACTAACAACCTAATGTATTTAAGTAGCGGAAATGAAATTGCAATGGATTAATGAAACTAAATAGACACAAATGCACAATAATGAAATAGTGAAATTAAAACAAATAAGACTTTTAATAAAAAATGTTGCCGTTACGATTTTGGTTCGACACGAGACCGACTCACACAATTCTCCTCCACCTCTACGATCCCCTAAACCTACAAGGCAAGGTAAATCAATGAAATGGTTTCTCGACACCTAGGTATAATCTACCTGTCTCACCCGATCACTCAAGTTCGATTGGTTAAAGACTACATTGAACGTCGATAAACGCTACAAGGCAATACCACTAGTTGGTACACAATTAACGAATACAATTTGTCACACGTAATATCCAATCAACCAACTCACAATAAACGCAACAATAGTAGGAATTAAACTAAATCCGAACACAAACTCAATTACAATCGATGCGAAGTAAATGAAAAGCAATATTCATCATTTAATTATTCCAAACCAACGTTTATCATTCAGCAATGTTCGATGAAAACATTAAATCCTAATGGACAACAATATTATCACAAATTATGCTTAAATCATATTAAAGTATCGAAATCAATCATGAAACGAAAACAAATATAATCCAAAGCACAATATACCAATTTCCTATAATCGGGCTCATCCAACTAGTCGAGAGCTGATGAGGAGAGTAGTGGGTCAATCCCGATCTCGCCTATGCCGTAACAGCAACCGGGAGCTTAGGCCGCATGGTGATGACGGAGGCCGAACGGTGGAAACGGAGCTGACCAGGCGGAGAGGAGGTAACCAAAAGCTATATGATGCGAAGAAGGCTAAAAACGACCCACGGACACCCCAGAATACGAACAGCCGCGGTCACGCGGAAAACGTTAATTTCCGGCGGGTCTCCGGAAAACGTGTGCGGAATGGGATCCGAAGGTACCGATGGAAAGCTCTAGTGATGGGGAGTTCAGATCAGGTCCTGGGAGGTGAGAAGTCACAGGAAATGAGCGATCTGGCCTGGAAGATGAAGAGTCGCGACGGCAAAACCACGGATTCCGGCGGTTTTCGCGGCGGCTGAAGCTTGGAAATCTAGATCCGCTAGGGGAATGAAGATCTACCCTTGGGAGGCTGGAACGTCATCGGAAAACGGCAAAATTGGCCGAAAGACGAACGACGCGGTGGACGACGAAGCGTCGCGGCGTGGTGGTTCTCGGTGGTGGTTGCCGTGGTGGTTTGCTGGGATGATGATGATCTGTGGTCGAGGAAGCCGAAGAGTCGCCGGAGGTGGAAGACGAAGGGTCGCCAGAAAACTTTATGGATGGCAGCCTCCTGTTCACGCGATATGAAATTTTGTTTTATGAACAATGTGTAAAATTTCAGATTTCGTCCTGCACAATTGAAAAGTGACAAATCAGCCCTTTAAAACATGACATTTTACCCATAAACAGGCATAAATGAGACAAACACCCTTAATCCTAAACCACAACCTAAATCAACTCATACTTTCCAAAATCATTCCAAACACGTTAAATTCATAAGAAAAATATTAGGAAGCGATTTTCATGAATAAATTCATAAATTCTTAATATCTCAATATACTAAATTTAATCACAAATGGGGTATTTTTATCACCAAAATAGAGTCACTTTCATGACTATAACAGGGGGGGGGGGGGGGGGGGGGGGGCAGTGGTTGGGAGAGACAATGCTAGTCTATAAATATCCCCTAAGTTTCTCATTTTTTCCGCACTACTCAATCTCTCTATTGTCTATTCCAAATCTCCAATCAAATTCTCATTCAATTTATATTTATATTTATAATTCATTTATTGCTGAAGACATAATATGCTCTTTAACAATGAAATGATTAAAGTGATAACGTGTTTACGGGATTAGACTCATATAGAGAGAAGACTACAACAGCACCTTGAAGAGCCCAAACTACTCGAACTCTTTAGGAACACAGATTTTAATGATTTAAATATTGTTGACGATGAAGATGAATAATTTAATAAAAAAAATGTATTTAATTGTTTATTTGTGAAGCGTGAATGTGTGATTGTGTGAATATTACATTTATGTTAAAATTAACCATTAATTTATTTATTATTTTATTATATTTTTTAAAATTAATTAAACTTTTAAAAACTTACTAATCTACCCCTAAAAATTACATAAACCCCCTATAGAATTTCATTTCGCCCCTAAAATATAAAAAAAAGATAGGGAAAAATGAAATTTTGCAGGCCCATAGGACCGGTCCAAGTCCTGAAATTGCTCATGGGCCTGGGATCAGTCCCAAGCCCATGAGCGGCTGGTCCCAAATGGGACCAATCCCAAACGGGCCCAAGCTCGGGCCCGCTTGGGACCGGTCCTTGACCAACTCTGGCACGCACTATTCCAATCCATTTCCCCTTTGAAGCTGCCTTGTCTTTTCATTTTCCACTTTCCTTTGCGTTCTCGGTCTTGTTGTTTTGGCTTGTTGCTGTTGGTGTGGAGAACGAGAAGGAGAGAGAGCAGTCACGTCAAAGTGAGAGTCGACCAGAAAGGCACCGAAGCAACCAGGATGAAAGAGAGACGATTCGAGAGCAGGAGCTTAAGGAAAGAGAAAAGGAGAGGGAATTAAGGGATGGAGATAGAGAAAACAGGTATTATTATTTTAGCTGTCTAATTTGGTCTTCTTATGTATGTATTGAATTATACTTCTCTATGGTTATGGAGTCTCCAGATTGATGTTGGATCAAACTTACTTATAATGAATGCATTTCACGTTAGATTGCAAAAAGAAAATGATTGATTGCATTTGTTGCATGAAGTAGCATATGTTATTGGCTGAGTAGTTATAAAAGAACTGATAATTAACTTATGACTTCTATTGTAGAAATTGGTGTGGTATATATTTGTTCTGTTTAAAAATGGATTGATCATTTTGTTGTGTAGATGTTTTTAGTCTAATATTTAAAGTAGCTTAAGAAAGGTGTTATGCGTTAGATTTGGCAAAACTTCGTTTTATATTACATGGTTTGTGGATGTTTTTAGTCTAATATTTAAAGTAGCTAATTAAAGGTGTTATGTGTTTGGTTTGGCAAAACATCATTTATGTTACTTGGTTTTTCAACGAGAAACTATGTGCATATAATAATTTCTTAATGCAAAGTTTTGATATTTTTTTATTTTTTATTTTTCTATTAAAAATAGTACTGCACAGTTTAACAGAGGTGAGTTTTGTTCCAATTTTGAGGTATGTGGAGAGATGTGGAAGTGTGGCAAACTAAGTACTTGTATGACTATGTAAATTGTTTGATGAAAATTCAAAAAGAAATGCATGCATAAATTTGTCGAATATCGTTGAAGATATTGTTTGATAAAGGAAAGAATTGATGTTAAAAGGTTGTATTAGACTTGACCAAGTATAAGTTTAAGTATTTAAGACTGCATTTTGTTATGCCAAAATTTAGAATAACACTTGGTTATATTAGTTTAATGAAATAAATAGCCTTTAGTGCATGGTTCAAGTTGCTTGAACTTTTAGCATTAATTGAATGGCATATTGTATTTAGTCATTGAATTATGAGTTTTGAAACCTATAACTTTAGAAAAGCAATGGCAAGAATTGCTTATTAAATTATTGCAATAGTGTAGTATTGATGATAGTATACAATAAAATAACTTATTACATATTGTTTGTAACTAATCTCAAAACAAGAAACAATAATATACTCATTTGGCCAAGCCATTATTTGGATGATCTTTCTAATTTTAAGCATACAAGCTTGACAACTTATTGTGGCATATTGTAATATTATAATATAATCACCCATCTTTTACGTAAAGAATAGAAAAGCTTTCCCAAGTATAGATATCAAAAGAAACATCAAAGAAATAGAAGTTTGGTTTATATATTAAATACATGACCATTTTAGAAATTGATTGGTATGAGTATGGTTTTCATGCCTTATTATGTATTACAGCTATAGAATTGTGCTAGAAGATCTTGAGAATATTTTGTATTGGCTAAAAGTTTAGTTAAGAATGTTAGAAAGAAATTAGAATTTTGCCAAAGTATATATGTTGTGCCATATGTTAGATGGTATTTACAATGATTAATATGGCAATATAGATTAATGTATAGAATGTAGCCAAAAGAAAATAAAAAAGAAGGGCATCTATAACCATTGAAGTTGATGGTCATGTTAAGAGAATGCAAATTTATGGCATTAAAATTTGAATTTAGAAAGTTGTACAAGGCATGGTTGTAACATTAGAAAATATTAGAGAATAGTTTAATGACATGGTTATGTGATATATATATATATATATTTGAGAAAATCTAGTAGCATAATTGGGCAAGTTTGTAGACATAATACCTAAGTTGTGGTATAGATTTTTATAGAAGAAATTAGATTGCCCAAAATGTAGAATTCATTCCCTAGTTGAATTGTGCCGTTATAATATCTCACTAATAGAATTATAGAAGAATAGAATTTGTGAGAGATAATGTAATTGTGTACATGTACATTTTACATAGCATGATAGAATTGAAGAATTATAGAATTATATAGAAATTATAGAATCGTGTATGTACACACGATGCATAGAATTCAGAAATAAGGAATAAAATAGAAAATGTTTAAGTTAAGTGTGTTACTAGAATAGNACTTACCTTAATCTGTGTTCTATTATATGTATAGGTGATGTGAACATTTCCATCACTAGCCTGGATAACAGCAGGATACGAGAATTCCATTGCCAAATTGTCCTCCAATGTCATAGCATCATGCCATGAATCACCATCATCACTTGAAAGGGCAATTTTAAGCACACCCCTTGAGATTGTATTGTATGCAAGTAACAAACGTCCATCACTCAGCTTAACCCCATCAATGCCTGGCAAATTGTTAAAAAAAAAAAAAAAACCTACTATAAGCTGGAAGCAATATTGGCAGGTAAGAAGTCCTACCAACAAGAGAATTCATTTTCTTTCACAACTTATATTTACTTAGTATCTATTGAATCTTTTTTCCTGAATCATGCGTTAAAAAGGATGTGTTTCTTTCTCATCAATCTTATAAATTGTAGTTAAGACACATTGGCTTCCATAGCAATATGTAATGCAGAAACATAATTTAAAAATCAACCTGAATTGGGGTTGGGAAGTTCTGTAGGCACAGCAAAGCCCCAGGTTTTGCCGCTATCGTCAGATTCTGATATGCAAACTCTATCAATGCCTTCAAAAGAACGCATTAAAACGCGCAGCTTACCTTTGGCAGTCTGGAAGGGAACTGGTTGGATCACACTAAGAGTTTCATTTTGAATGTAAATAGGACCATACTTTCTCCACGACCTACCTGAATCTGTTGTGACCTGTTGCATGAAATTCATAAATATTGTTATCTACATTTAAAGAACTTCATTAGATTTCAAAGACTCCTGTAGTTTGTCATCACAACCTCCATCCATGAGCCCCAGGAGTTCCAACTTTCAACAGATGATCCACAGAGCAAGTGCCCATGTTCCAGCAAGATGGGCTGCATAAGAGTTATCAGCAGTTTGATAACGGCACCCAATGATAACAATAAAATTAATTTTTTTAATTAAAAAAATAATATATAAGATATTAAATCCTAATTATACCTTGTTCTTTGATGGCCCTAATATTCCAGGAGGAAGTTGTTCTCTTTCCAACCAAGTCACACCTTTATCATACGAACGCTTCATGCATCCACTCCATCTAGATTTGAGAATTGTACATCATGCTATGTTACACAAACAGAGGAACTAACCTTCTACTTATAACGTATCACCGCATCAGTTTGGCTGAAGGACAACATGCTGCAAAAATAAATCCCCAAAAGACATAAAAATTTCTCTGATTTACATGATAGACCATTTAAAGAAAAAGAAATAGTTGATGATATATTAATCAATTAAAATGATGAATCTGAAGGAAAGCAAAGTCATCAGATTGGTAGCATACCATGCCATTTCCACATATTAATGCTTTTTTTTTTTTAACTTTAAAAAAAAAAAAAAAAAAAAGTTGTGTAGACCAAATAATGAAGATTGACATTCCATCTTGGGGCTTTCTAGATGAAAATAAAGCAAGAGTGAATCAATTCACACTAGTTTTAGAAATTATCTTGACATTGATGTGTAAGAATTTTGTCTTTGATGTTGATTACAAATGGGAATTCACATGGAAACTGGTAGGCACCATTTATTGGTAACATAATTGAGGAGCCAACTCTTCAAAGGCCAGCCAGGGTCCATCCATTTTCATTGCATGCAACATGCCATTCCCAAATTCATACATCTTTTTCATTTTTGAAAATGACTTCACATTTAGTGTACTATATTCTTCTTTCAAAATTTCATTTGATTATCTGTCTTTCATGTTTCAATTTATCATTTTCTGTCCCTGCCATAGTAAATTTTGGGACACCATTACAATTTAGATCCTTTTTCAAGTTTTGAATTTGTGTATATATTTTGAATGATTGGTCCCTTTCAAATGCTTGTCATTTATGTTGAAACTTATTGTCGCAATAAAGAGAATACATAACAAGGATTAGAATCTGAAAAGATTGACTTATTAAATGATCTTATTTACTCATTCTTATAGATTATGGATTTAACACTATCATAAATGAGAATGAATTTTGATCCTTTTAGATGCTTGGTGTTAGTGTTCAAACTTAAACATTGAAATGAAGAACTTGTGCTGTGAGAAAGTCTTAGCTTATTAAGTGATGTTGTCTACTTATATCAATATAAATGAGAGTTCCGACAATATCGTAAGTGAGATTGATTGAACTTAGACTCTTTTAGATGTGTAGTCTTGGTTCGAAATTTGACATTGAAATGAGCCTATATAACTCACAAATTGATACACGAGAAACCAAATATGTCATAAATGAGATAAATCGAACTTAGACACTTTTAAATGCCAGTCTTGGTGTGGAAACTTGTCAATGGGAATGAGCCCACGAGGGTTAGAATCTAAATATTCTAGACTACTTTCGTCATAAACTACAAAAACTAACTTATCAAGTGATCTTGTCAACTCTTCCTTATAACTTAGGGATCAGACAATACCATAAATGAGATTGAACATAAAACCTGCAGAATTTATGGAGCAAATTTGACCCATCATTGAATGGAAATTCTACTCTTGTGGCTGCAACCATTTGCTTGCAGGAAGGGTCAGTCAAATTCATAACAGTTAGTTTTGGAAGTTTCATTACTTTGTCAGCAACAAACATAACTGGCAAATAAGTAAACATTGAACTGTTTTCTGCATAAAACAATCCTGAAAGAGTTTATTTCCAATCTCTACATGCATAATTCTCTAGCTTAATTGGTCTTGAGCAAGATGACTTCACAAGGGATTACTGATGTTTTTTATTAATGAAATTTTGTAATACAAAGTCTACGTTTAGTATAATACACAACAGGCCATTACAGCAGGCTAAAAATTAAACAGGAATCACAAAGAATGGAAGTTTACTATCTTCATTGATCCACCAAGACTGAGTAATGATTGTGTCTTCATCGGGCGCAACGATTTGCTTATGTCTTTCATTTCACTCTCTTTTATCACTTATACATGTTTGCTGCTTCAGCTGATTTTATTGGGGCGCAACTGACACAGAAAGTTTCTCCTTCAAACCTGGTTTATGGCCTTATTGAACATCTTCCCAGCCTCCAGCTTACCTGTAAAACAGAAATTGATTAAAAAGGCCCTTCCAAATGATTTCCGTTCTATGTCATCGATAACAGATTCCTTTGGTATTATTTCATTTTGGGGTAACTGATGGAGAACTTATTATCAAAAAGGCTATTAGTTTTTCTGAGATTAAACAAATTAACTGTTTTTCATATATCAAAATACTTGGTCAATAGCAAATTGTTGTAGCTTTTAAAACTGGGTTTATGACAACAAGAAACTGAAAAAAGAATATGGAATGTAACCACTACGGCCAACAAGCATCTTGAAATAGACATTTCACAAACTAAGAAGGTTTGTTTTAAGATTCATGATCTTGGAACCTTCAGGATTATATATGACTCGGTGCATTGTTACCTTAACATGAACATAGAACTTGGGCAAGTTGCATGTCTCAGACAGACAGAGCTCATGCAGCATGTTAAAAATTCACTAGTCTTCGTCTTATCACTATACTATTTCCTTGCATTCAACTCAAGAAAGCTTTATGCAAACAACTAGGGCCAAGCAAATTGATTCACGCCTATGAATAATAGCTAGCTTTGAATCAAGGATGTATCATACATTAAACAGAAACCAACAAGGATCATTTGTCAGCAGTGAACTCAAAAACTTATGTCAAAGATAAGGAGAATTTAAGCTCTTAACACTTGGATAAAACGCAACTAATATCAAACATCAAACTTTTAGACTACTAGGTCAATTTGGCTATGATACCAGTTAAGTTAGCACTCTACTGAAACACTTCAGACTATAGGTAAGGGCAGAACAATAGTATTTAAGCATTAGAGAATTGTACATCATGCTATGTTAACACAAACAAGAGGAACTAACCTTCTACTTAATAACGTATCACCGCATCAGTTTGGCTGAAGGACAACATGCTGCAAAAATAGATCCCCAAAAGACATTAAAAATCTCTGGTTACATGATAGACACCATTTAAAAGGAAAAAGAAATAGTTGATGATATAATTAATCAATTAAAATGATGAATCTGAAGGAAAGCAAAGTCATCAGATTGGTAGCATACCATGCCATTTCCACATATTAATGCCTTTTTTTTTTTTACTCCTAATCTGTGTTCTATTATATGTATAGGTGATGTGAACATTCCATCACTAGCCTGGATAACAGCAGGATACGAGAATTCCATTGCCAAATTCCTCCAATGTCATAGCATCATGCCATGAATCACCATCATCACTTGAAAGGGCAATTTTAAGCACACCCCTTGAGATTGTATTGTATGCAAGTAACAAACGTCCATCACTCAGCTTAACCCCATCAATGCCTGGCAAATTGTAAAAAAAAAAAAAAACTACTATAAGCTGGAAGCAATATTGGCAGGTAAGAAGTCCTACCAACAAGAGAATTCATTTTCTTACAACTTATATTTACTTAGTATCTATTGAATCTTTTTTCCTGAATCATGCGTTAAAAAGGATGTTGTTCTTTCTCATCAATCTTATAAATTGTAGTAATAACATGGCTTCTATAGCAATATGTAATGCAGAAACATAATTTAAAAATCAACCTGAATTGGGGTTGGGAAGTTCTGTAGGCACTGCAAAGCCCCAGGTTTTGCCGCCATCGTCAGACTCTGATATGCAAACTCTATCAATGCCTTCAAAAGAACGCATTAAAACGCGCAGCTTTCCTTTGGCAGTCTGGAAGGGAACTGGTTGAATCACACTAAGAGTTTCATTTTGAATGTAAATAGGACCATACTTTCTCCACGACCTACCAGAATCTGTTGTCACCTGTTGCATGAAACTCATAAATATTGTTATCTACATTTAAAGAACTTCATTAGATTTCAAAGACTCCTGTAGTTTGTCATTACAACCTCCATCCATGAGCCCCAGGAGTTCCAACTTTCAACAGATGATCCACAGAGCAAGTGCCCATGTTCCAGCAAGATGGGCTGCATAAGAGTTATCAGCAGTTTGATAACGGCACCCAATGATAACAATAAAATTAATTTTTTTAATTAAAAAAATAATATATAAGATATTAAATCCTAATTATACCTTGTTCTTTGATGGCCCTAATATTCCAGGAGGAAGTTGTTCTCTTTCCAACCAAGTCACACCTTTATCATACGAACGCTTCATGCATCCACTCCATCTAGATTTCATTGAGCCAACAGCAAGCCAAGGCAATGAAGATGCGACAGCAGTTTATTCAATTTCAGAACACCCAATACAAAAAAAGTTATCCTAAAGCATCCACCACAAAAATCTTTTTTTTTTTTCTTTCCAATAACAATTAGTTGGTGATCTTTTTTCCCCAAAAAAATCACAATTATGAGGCCACAGCTATATCCACAAAGAGCAAATCATCATAAATCCAAAATTTGTCATTATATTAAAAATAATATGGATGAAAATATGAAGAGAAAGTTTATTATTAGAAGAATCACAGGTAATTAATTTAAAAACTGAAAAAGCTAGTAAGTCATTGATATTATCTACTTCAACTGTTAACATATCAGAGATTTCAATTTCACTGTAATATTGCAAAGAAGGAAGGACAAAACCAGCTTCTACTAAAGTACCAAGTCCTGTAACATAACAGGACAATTTTTTCCTATCATGAAACGCCACACTTGTATACATTACAAGTTGACTGTATGTTATAAGTTTGACATTTTATGTTTCATGTGAGCCGTTCTACATTACACACACACACACACACACAAACAAAAAAAAAAAAAAAAAAAAAGAGAAAAAACAATTCCTTTTAGCACAACCTCTTTAGAACCACAAAAAATCTAATCAACTTCTCACATATTCAAATTTCATCACAATAACGTGTAAGAAGGCATGCCAAACTTCTTTAAGAGTTTTTAATCAGCTTAGAAACTGAAATAGACAAAAGCCTATGGTAATAGAATTTTGTATGTCCACAGCGTGTGATATGGTGAGGCAATATGCATGCAAGTATAATCAATCAGATGAATAGCAAGGTATCAAGTTTTGCAATACCCTGCTCTCCAATATACATATCCAAATATCTAGAGGTTCATGAAGAAAGCACATCTTTGACCAAATGATAAACAGGACAAAGTGGCAGTTAATTAGTTCACCAGAGGTAGTTAGGGAGGTAATAATGCAGATATAGAAGAGAATACAACAGCACATCACAGGTAGAGCTGTCTTAACAATATCACTTCAGTAACACAAATGAAAAAGCATGCATCTTTCATAAATGCAAACTCAAATAACAGAAGCTCTTCAATTTCCAGCATAAAACATAATCAATCTTCTAGGTATCACCAAGAAAATATAAAGCTAAATAGCCTTTTTCACTACTTCTAGCCAACCGTTTTTTTTTACCTTATCAAAGCTTCTCTCTTTTTAATTCTTTAACAGTAAAACCATGGATCCATATTCTGCTTTGCAAAATGTGGCATCTAAATTGTTATCCGGCAATAAAATTTAAAATGTCACTGCAAGAATTTCGTATCATTATTGGCATATCTATATTCCATTGATAGTAATTTGTTTGTTTAGTTTATTTATTTACTTTTGAGCATTCAGTAGTATCCTAAAACATGTAAAGCTTTCTGAATAAATGTTCTCAAAAATCAAAGGAAAAAACAAATTAGAGATTGTTAGGCTTGACTGCAGTTATACTAATAATGAAGATTCAGAAGATGGTAGAATAGAATATTTACTTTTGAACCTCTTGGCCAATTTTATAAAATATCAATAATTCATTTGAATGAAGCTTGAACAGTACGGGGTTCCACATTGGAACATTAGGTTCTTCATCAACGATGACTGGTGATTCCCAACGGCCATCCTGCCAACAAAATATTAATTATATGAAATAAATACCGTCTTATAATGCACAGACAGCAATACTAAGAAATTTAAGAATGAATTTAGCACTGAATGCATAAATTGAAAGTCAATTGACCTGAAAGCTTAAGCTATAAGGTAAGGGTTTAATATTAATGTTTATGTCTAACAGCCTCTTCAAATATAACATGGATTCAATTTAGATCTACTGAATGTCAACAGCTTGCTAAACTGAGAGAACCAGAAGAAGAAATTTGATTTAGTGATTTGAATTAGAGACTTCTAGCTTTGATACCATGTTAAACAATCACTTGATCCGGAAGCAAAGCTGTTAGGCCAGGACTTTAACTTTGATATTTAGATCTTAAATAGACAATGTTAAAAGAACCATAGAACATAGAACAAGGACGAGAGGGAGAACGGGAAAGAATCCTTTAAATGCTAAAGCATTCCATGAATTTTATTTTTATTTTTTTAAATCTAATTACAGTTTAATTTGATGTCATTGCTATCCACAAGGAATATAGTTAAGTAGATGAAAAAAGAAAAAAGAAAGAACTTTACAAGAAGCATAGCCACGGGGAAATGGAGTTTCTAGTTATGGAAACAACAAAATTCATAACTTCATTTTGTTTGATATAAAATTTAAATACAATTTTTTCGTTTCCAAAAATAATGGAAACAAGAAATGTTGTGAAAACATGTTCGGTTGAAATGGAATGAAATGTTCTAAAAAATCAGTCTTAAGATACAATCCTAAACATAAGAAAATGAATAAAAGTCCTTTTCTGAGTTTGCTATAGCTTTGAACTCTCGAAACAGCTTTCTCTTCTGAATTGTATCTTAGATTTTCAAAATTATTTTGGGATCACAAACCAAACAAGCCCAATTGCACAATGTATGAAGTAAAATGAAATATTGGTAATAACGTAAATCTAAGACGATGGATAATAACTTATTACCTTGAATCTCTGCAACCAAATTTTAACATCAGGTGCTCCCTCTGATGTGCCCCCAAAATAGGCAACCAAAAAATGGCCTTTATCAACCTGCAGAACAAGAATAGTCCAATTAACTTCTGTTAATTGAAGCAAAACTTACAAAGACCAAAAATTCCATCAAATTACATAACCTCAACAATGGTAGAGGCATGACAGCTATTGAAGGGAGCAGAATTTGCAGGAAATGTAAACTCCTCCACCAATGGTTTCCGGATGTAAGAATCCTTCGTCATATTTACACCCTCCAAATTTGAACTTGCAGCACTTGCAGATATCCTAACTACTTTTCTGCACATAGTTTTCACCACATTACATTTCATCTAAACTTACTAAAACATCACTGCATTAAAGTTCATATTTTGTAACTAATTCATGATTGAATGTTACAAAACATGACATTAACTAAAAGTCAAATGGCAAAGAAATTAGAGTACCTGAAAAGGTGTGCATGGAAATGATGAAACAAGTGATTGATATGCAAAGATGAGTTGAAAATCAATAAATGAAGGTTGGATTTGGCTCTGCTTTCAATTCCAGAAAATGGGTTGTGAAAATCAGAAGCAGAAAACAGCAGCAACAACACCATAAACACAAATAAGAGAACTCTCGCAACTGGTTTCCACATTTGAATGTAGAAAACTTGATGAAACAGAAAACGGCTAAACCATAATGAATTTAAAGAACAAAGAAGAGAAAAGAGAGCAAGAAACGTACTTGGAATAAGCTTCAAAGAGAGAGAGAGAGAGTGTTGTTTTGTTATTGTATAAGCTGGGTTAGTGGCTTTGGTACTTTCTACTTTGGTTGACTAAAAGAGAAGTGTCAAGAACGTCCCTATGGGGGGATTTTGTAATTTTCAGAAAATATTCATAATTTATTCCAAAAACTTTCTTTATTAATAAGCTATTTAATAGTTTCTAAAAATTCTTATATAAAATATATTAATAAAAAAAAATGATTCTCTCTAAGGATAGGTAATAACCTGTCTTGATAATAATTAAGTATTAAATTATTATGAATAACTATGATTAATTTATGATCGTGAAAGTGAATTATCACATCTCCTACTTTTTAGAATTTCTCTAAAAAAAGTTAAATTAATTCAATATTTTAAGCTGGTTTCCTGTATTTTAAATCTTCATATATATATATATGTGTGTGTGTGTGTGTGTGTATTATCATTTTAATCTTCATATAATCTAATCTAATTCAATCAAATCATAAAAAATCGTCACGTATTGCATGCGACAAAAACAAAACAAAATCATGCATGAAAATTCTTCCATGATCGCCTAAAATTCTAGTAACATCATATTAGGATCTCACACCTACCAAGTGTGATACTTAAGTCTATGGGCTCTTTTACCTATCAAGCCGACCTTTTGGGTTGGATTTTCCCTTGGACTTGAGTTCTAACATTGGTATTTTTTGTTGAGAATTTGGTTGTGGAAAAGGCTACTTATATGTTAGATTAAGGTGCACTGGGCTCTCCTTAAAAGGGGGTGTTGCATCGAATAATTGATAGGTGAGTGAAGATTAAAGTTGTCCAAAGGGGGAAAGGGTTACTGTCGGGTCAGTATCAATAGAGTGAAAATTGCCGTAGACATCGGCTCTTGAAGGAGAAGGGGCTGCAATGTTAAGATCCCACATCAGAATCTCACACCTACCAAGTGTGGTACTTAAGCCTAAGGGCTCTCTCATCCATCAAGTCAATCTTTTGGGTTGAGCTCTTCCTTGGACTTGGTACTAACACATCCATATCGTGTATATATTTTATGATCCATTTGGTTTTCCATTTTTTTCCAACCCTTAAAGTATAGGATTTTCTTTCTTGTTTCATATAAGGGTATGCATAAACATTTATAAGAAAAAAATTTTCTCAATTACAACTATAACAAAAGGCCACTCACACATAATTTCATTTATATTAATCAAGTATCTCATTTATTAATGAAAAAAAAATGCGTTATTGACTCCATAAATTATTCCACAATTGCAACTGTTGAGAAGTGGGTAGTTGAGGAAAACACACATTAATTTGAGTTAAATAATTTTTGTACATTCATCGCATTAAAGTTGCACGCATGACATACACGAGTAATATTAATTGGTTGTTTGTACATATAATCGATTTATAAAAAAGCTGTTGATAATTTATAAGGATTGCTAGAGAGTAAGAATATAAACCCATATTAAGAACCATTCGCCGGAAGAAAAAAAAGAAGATAAAATTTATATAGAAAAAGGGATATATTGCATACCATTTATACACCTTAATATATAACAAAACTCATGGTGGTGGTGATGATAGATTGAACTGGAAGAACTTGAAGTGCTCAAAGAGAAGCCATAATTAAGATTGAATAAAACAAATCAAAGAGTGTTTTAAATGAAAACACATACCTTAATATATAACAAAACTCAAAAGAAGATCACACAAAAAATGTGGAAGTGAGAGCTAAAACCAAAATTCTATTTAATTAAAATAACTATGTGGCAATGACTAGACATTATTATCACATTAAATCATTATTTATCGCGCAAATATCATGTATAATTACATATTTTTATCGCGTATATTCAGGATTAATTTCTTATCTCTATGATTTGTGTGATATTATTATATCATTTACTATATCCAATCATTATATTTACATATAAATACCATATAAAAACATATTTTTTGACGATGAATTGTGAATATTTACTTGACGTGTGTAGCACAATTGGACAAAAAACATCAAAGTATTATCAACTTAGGGTCATTCATTCGATTAGTTGATTTTGAATGTAGATAACAAATATTAAGGGTATATATGTCATTTAACCCATCAAGAAATTAAAATATAATAAATTATTTTTCTTAATTTGAATGGTACTTTGGTTTCGTATAAAATTTCTTTATTTTAATTTTTAAATAATCAACCTTAAATGAAAATATCTCAATATCATAATAAGTGCCCCGTGTATCAGTTTAGTAATAAAAAAAAAGATATCCAAAACCCCCAAATTTTGGTTTTATCCCAACAAAGACCGTAATATCTCAAAATGACTCAAAAAGCCGTCATCTAAATGAGCCTAACAGGTTTACGCCCTTCCCCTGACGACAGCAACACAACACAATACAACGCAACTGAGAAAGTCGTCTGGTAGAAGAATCCGGGTCGACTTCAACTCAAACTATGACCTCCAAAACACACTCCAAACGCTTAATCTTCGTAGCAGTTGCAGCAGTTTCTGCTTCCACTGCCATCTCTGGCACTTTCTCTGCCCATTAAAGCTATTTATATATATTTATTTAGTTTATGTTCTCACTGTGTCGTTTCTTTGTGACCTTTCAGTTTTCATATGGAGAAAGATTAAAGGGTTAGAGAGATCTTTGAACTCTGCCTTACAAAAATGTGCTGCTGAGAGACAAGGTCGTATCAGAGCTCAACAGGTGAGCAGTGTTTGTGCTTCAACATTTAGAAAAATACTTACTTGAAGTGCTTTTGTTGGATTAAAAAAGTGCTTTTGTAGGTTTTGAGGGAAGCTTTAGCGCGACCCAAGTCTCAAAATGTGGAACAAACGTCTTATCCCATGGCTCCTATTGGTGTTGTCCAGTCTTGCTTCTCTACCAGGTGATTTGATTAGGAAATCAATTTTGTAATTTTTTTTTTCCTGCTCTTTTGATATTGTTGGATGAGGTGTCTGAAAATATGCTGTCACACTTGTGGAATCAAACTATTAAGAGCAAAGAAAATATTTTTTTTTCAAAAGAAGTGGAAAAATCAAAGCTTTGACGGAATTGTTCCTTCATGTCAAAAGCTTGGATTTTTTGTTGTTTCATGATAAATTCTTGGTTGGTTGTGTAAATATGATGTTTTGCTGAATTGGGTTGGTTCTTAACATTTGAAAGGTGTCATATAAAATGAACTTGAGATTGGAATTTTTCATTTGTGCATTTGATAATGCATGTCTAAATTCTTGTTTAATCAGATAAACTTTTCATTTTTGCAGAAATGGGACACCGAGGCAACCTTTACTTGTTCTTCTTGCTAGGGCTTGTTTGGTGTTTGATGCATCTCGTGTCCCTCCAGCTTCTCTCGAGGGTCTTGGAGAATATTCTCATTGCTGGATTATATATGTATTTCATTTAAATACAGATCTAGAGAAGTTATGGAAGCATCCATCGAAATCAAAGTTTAAGGCTAAGGTACGCAGTACTGTACTTTGGTATAAACAATTGTTTCTTATCATCTTTAAATGTCTATAAAAAGTTGGCTTGATGTTCAGGTGAGAGTACCAAGACTAAAAGGTGAAAGGATGGGAGTCTTTGCTACACGTTCTCCACATCGGCCTTGCCCTATTGGGCTCACTGTTGCAAAGGTGCAAACTTTTAACAAGCATGAATGTTTCCTATATACTGATGCAAGCATGTATAAATCTGTAGCTTTTTAAGTTTAATTAGGTCTCCATGTGGGGGTTTTACTTTTGTGAAACTCGGAGAAAGGGAATTTACCATGATCTTTCACCCAAATGCTTACAAGAAGGTTTAGGAAAACTAAATTCAGTGGACATTTCGTAATTGTTTGTTAGCAGCATAATTATCATGTTTCGGTATGATTGTAGCAATCAATTTTAAACTATATGGGTAGCGAGCATTCCTCAAAATTTTCTTTAAAATTGATTGGCTGCATTTCTCTTTTGAAGGCAACAAATATTCAAAGTGTTTGTTTTGTTGAACTTGTAGTTGGCCATGATTGATTTGCTCAACCTTGATGAAGGATAGTAGTCCATAATGTCTTGACTTACACAAACATGAGGCTTTTCTATCTCCGTGTGTGTGTGTGTGTGTGTGCAAGTGTGCGTTTTGCATTTGTATGTAGCTCTAGGGCTTTGTTTGGTAGGAGAGAAGTGTGGGATGGAAATATTATTGTGGATTATAAATTTCTTTTGGTAATGATGGAAAGGATTGAAAATGGGTATGGGACACATTTTTCACCCCCGTTGTCATTTCTAGGTCCTCTCAGATTAGACTGACAAGTGTTTACTAAAGAGGTTATAAATAAAGCCATATATACAAATTGATCTTTCATCGCTTTGTTTTCATCTCTTTAATATTTCCACCCCTTCTACCAATTTGATCATTAAGGATTCAATTCAAAATTGTATCTAAATAAAACCATTCTTGATTCGGTTGTCTGAATCCTCTTATACAGAAAGTCGGTCTGTGTAAATCAAATGTTATATATTTATTGTTCCTCATGCAATGTCATGAACTTATGACTCTTACAAAAGACAAAATATGCATATGGAAAGGGTTATATATTAATGAGTATATTCTGTGTCCCCTAGGTGGAGGCAGTGCAAGGAAATATGGTTCTGTTATCTGGTGTGGATCTGGTTGATGGGACTGTAAGTTTTCCATTGCTTATGTTTACTACCCAAACTAAGCTAGATAATGAACAGATTCGCCTGTTTCTTGGTTATAATTTGTCTTACTGTGAACTAAGTGCATTTATGTGTGCTATTGATGATTTTAGTTATTAGGTCATGCTCATTCTTTATGCTTTATCAACAGCCGATACTCGATATCAAACCGTATCTACCATACTGTGACAGCATACATGGAGCAGCAGTGCCAGAGTGGGTAACGGTATAATATATACAATCCTTTAGGTTTAATACATTTTTTTTTTATATATATTGGAAGCTATGTATTTGAATGTTATATCTTCCTTGTCGTTTTCGTGCTTTGTGATTCTCAATACTTTTAAAAGGAGCTACTTATAATTGGGATATAGATCCTTGATATCCAGGGGTTTACAAACACATTAGACTTGGCCCTGGGTGGCTGATTTATCTATGGCTGACATATCCTGCTTTAGATGTATTCTGGTGTATAAATTGGTTTAAAACTAGTTTGAAGCGTTCATAAATTAGTTATTAAGAGGAGATATCATGTGCTTTGACAAGCTGTTGCCATTTTTTCCATTTCATTATCTGCTATTCATCATTATTCCATGCTGCACATGAACTGAAAATCTCAGGCAAATATGCCTTAGAGGTTATAATAGATGAAGTAGAGAAAGGAGGTGAGGGTGGAGCTAGTGTTCGGTTCAGTTTGACGTTTGGTGTAGATTTGGGCAGGCCGTATCCCAAACCCTGCTTTTATTTCTCTTAAACGTTTTTGTTGAAAAGATATATATCAATTTCACGACCTTCACCTCTTAATGTGTTCATCAAAGCCTGTACTATTTTGAAGATATTTAATGTTTTGCTTCTTTTTTGTGTTGGAGGGACAACTTTCATAGACTGAATTATCTGTGTGATATTAGATGAATCTTCTCTTTTCATTTTCCCTTTTTCTTTTTTGCTTGCCTACATCACTGGTTTCCTTTCATTCTGAATAATTTGCAGTTTTTTTTTCATTTTTTCTTTTTCCAAAAGGTGGACAATATTTTAGTCATAGCTTCTGTCAGCTTCTCCGAGGCATTCTTTTCCACACTTGCTGATTGTTGGGACACTGTAGTAAGTGGTTTCATCTTTGTTTTGATATATTAAACATCTTTTTATTTATGCTTAATCTTTGCCATAAAATTGGCACAACACACAAAGCTTAAGTTTGCCACATCAGGATTCTTTTATTCGCACCTTAGAAATGCTATTCCTATTTTTGTGCTTAGACTTTTTCGAACAATTAGTCTCCACAATGTTAAACGCCCAAAAAAATGTCCACTTCTTCACTTTGAGGTTAATTTGCATTTCGATTGTTTCAGGAAAAGAAGTCACTCTATGCATCACCTGATGAGTTTCAAAGCTTAATCAAAGAGGTACTTTCATGGGATATCAGATCAGTTTCCCAGCGGAATCGACCTCATGATGGCCTTGTTAAGATAGGAAGTGGCAATGTATTGGGTAATACTTCAGATTTGGATGACGACCAAGATGAAGAGCAAGTTCCTATTCCTTCTGAGAACATACTTTACCATCTGATTTTGGAAGGACTGGATGTCTCATATAGAATTGATTGCAACAGCAATGTCATTGTCGAAAAAGCAAAAATTTCATCCGAATTCTTTAGTAGTAATAGAAGTCGGTGTAACTACTTAATGTGGAGAGAGCAACTAACTTGATTCATTGTTTTGAACGCCTGTTGTAATTCCAATGCATAGAGTTCTATATGCTGCTTTTGAAATAGAGAGATCTTTTTATAATGTGCTGCCTTATGGGGCTGGCCCATAAATGCCAATCCAGTAACATGGAATCATCAAAAACTGCTCAAGCTTTATCAAAGTAATGTAATTGCTATTAATCAGTGTAATAGCAATTCAGAATCAGTCTACATTAATGGGTGATATTAATGGCACCACCACTTTTTTACTGTTTCTCGCGCTTGTTTGGATCATTACAACAAAGAAATCAAGTAAAAAAGAGTTCCCCGAAGTTGCCAACATGCTTCAGGAACTGGATAGCAGTATGGCTTGGTGGACCTCAAACCTTAAGAACAAATGGAGTCCTGATAAGGATGTACTTGGAGAAGAAGCTTCAACCTTCATATGCATCTTGAATATCAAAACCAAGAACACATTTTAAGTATAGCTCTTGAAGTCAATCTCGTTTGTACATGATGGAAAATCCTGTCATATCCCAACCCTTTGATGCCTACACACTGCAAACAACAAACACAACCTGCCAAGCACATCCCTGCTGCCACGAACAAGATGGATTTGGTTTTGCTTCTTGGTCAACACAGAGACTTGGATCTAAAACAAAGATCTTCTACTTTCATAGCTTCGATAATCGGCAAGCTCCATTGGTGAAAATAAACAGCATCAATTTCTGACTAATAAATCTCCAAGCAATCCCATGTGCTCAACTGTTAAATTTGTTAGCTGACAGATAAGGTCTGATCTAACTGTTTCCAAACACAGCATTGTGCTTCGTTTTACTGTCTATAATGAGCTAAAACACCTTATGACTAATTTTAGACAACAATTTTTCAAGCGCTTCAGATGCAAGAGGGATAACAAACAGCCCTGACCATCAGAATGCCTTTAGTCTTCACCAACTCATGATCTTTGAATTTTGTCAAATGGGAGTTCAGAGTAATCGGACTGCCCACCAGGAAGCTATCATGCGATATTTTATATAGATTTTGATTGGCATACCTGGAATAGATACCAGCACTAGTTGAACTGTGTATGACCCATCTTCCTGTCCCACACTACAAAAAACCAAGGATGAGTTTATTGGGTCAATACATTATAACATACCTCAAAAGGTCCAATCACAATGCTACACATGCATTCCTTCTATGAAGAACATAATGTTGAATCCACCACACTAATTTACTGATATACTAAAACTGAAGACTCGAGATGTTCTCCAACTCTTTTGTAGTAACACACTTACATCTATCTGCGGCTTATTTTGGTATGGCAGCTTGAATCTAGGGCCTCAATATTGTTCTGGACTCGCATAAACATTTTATGTGCAAACCAGATGGAATGGCTATAGCAACCTTTCTTTATCTAAATAAAATAGATTAAGAAAATGAATCATTAATTGAAAGATCAAGCGCTACCTGCATCTTCTTAAAAGCATAGTGTGGAAACCCTCACAACAAACGGTTTCACATTCTTAAAAAACATGTTTAACAATAAAAGTAAAACAAAGAATCTAAAATTTTATTGACCACAAAAGACTTGAGGGAATAAAACTCAAGANCCAAAGATGAAGTGACAACCCTAGAATCGGAAGTGAGCATCATTGCTACTCAACATGGGTCTTGATAGGAACCCACTCCAATAACTCAATAATTTGGGCTGGTCCATGGGTCTTTCATGGGCTTGGGTAGAACTCTCCTTGGAGAACCACCTCGTCCTCAAGGTGGAAGAGAGGAAATTGTCGATTGATGAGGTCATATGCTTCCCAGGTGGCTTCAAACGAGGGCAGGGTCTGCCATTTTATAAGCACCTCTTTAGTACCATCCAGTAAAGATCGGACTGCTAAAACAGATTCGGGATGAACCATGAGTTCCAAATCTTCGGTGAGGCATTGGGGAAGAGGTTGGATCGGAACGGAGCTGTGTAGGCTACCCTTGAGCTGGGACACATGGAAAACCGGGTGTATGCGAGCAGTTGCTGGCAAATTCAGTCGATATGCGACCTGTCCAATTCGTTCTGTGACTGGGAAAGGGCCATAAAAACGAGGGCTTAGCTTCTCATTTTGTTTTGTGGCCAAGGATTTGAATCTATAAGGCTGGAGTTTCAGAAACACCTGATCCCCCGGCTGAAAAGTTACATCTCGGCGGTGCAGATCTGCATTCTCTTTCATGTGCCCTTGAGCAACGGATAAATTCTGTTTGAGCTCTTCCAATATGGAGTTACGCTCGGACATCTGTTGATTCACTGCCTCTACTGCAGACGGACAATCGGTAAACTTGAATAGAGTAGGAGGATCCCTACCGTAGAGAGCCTTGAAAGGGGTCATCCGAGTGGAACTGTGGTACATTGTATTGTACCAATATTCTGCCCATGAAAGCCAACGAGACCAATGCTTGGGTTTAGAGCTACAAAAACACCTCAAGTAGGTCTCCACACATCTATTGACTACCTCTGTTTGACCATCTGTTTGTGGGTGGTAGGCAGAACTGAATTTCAGTGTAGTCCCTGATACCTTGAATAGTTCTTGCCAGAATTGGCTAATAAAGATTCTGTCTCTGTCAGAGACAATTGACTTAGGGAAACCATGGAGTCTTACAATTTCTGATACAAAAAGGGCTGCCACCTCCTTGGCATTGTAGGGATGGCATAGAAGGATGAAGTGTCCATATTTGGTGAGTCTATCGACTACTACTAGAATGGTATCGTGGCCCCAAGACTTAGGTAGCCCTCCAATGAAATCCATGCTAATGTCCTCAAATACTTGAGTGGGAATGGGTAGGGGCTGGAGAAGGCCGGCTGGTTTAAGGGNATTTCCTCTAACAGAATCCTACTGGCAGAACAACTTTTAGAGAGCACCTTTAGTGTTGCTTCACACGTCTCACACCCCTCTGCCCTTGTGCCCCTTGTCTTGATAGACCTTGTTGATAGGGGGCTTATCAATACCCCCTCCTTGGAAAACCACCTTGTCCTCAAGGTGGAAGAGAGGAAATTGTCGATTGATGAGGTCATATGCTTCCCAGGTGGCTTCAAACGAGGGCAGGGTCTGCCATTTTATAAGCACCACTTTAGTACCATCCAATAAAGAGCAGACTGCTAAAACAGATTCGGGCTGAACCATGAGTTCCAAATCTTCGGTGAGGCATTGGGGAAGAGGTTGGATCGGAACGGAGCTGTGTAGGCTACCCTTGAGCTGGGACACATGGAAAACTGGGTGTATGCGAGCAGTTGCTGGCAAATTCAGTCGATATGCGACCTGTCCAATTCGTTCTATGACTGGGAAAGGGCCATAAAAACGAGGGCTTAGCTTCTCATTTTGTTTTGTGGCCAAGGATTTGAATCTATAAGGCTGGAGTTTCAGAAACACTTGATCCCCCGGCTGAAAAGTAACATCTCGGCGGTGCAGATCTGCATTCTCTTTCATGTGCCCCTGAGCAACGGATAAATTCTGTTTGAGCTCTTCCAATATGGAGTTACGCTCGGACATCTGTTGATTCACTGCCTCTACCGCAGACGGACAATCGGTAAACTTGAATAGAGTAGGAGGATCCCTACCGTAGAGAGCCTTGAAAGGGGTCATCCGAGTGGAACTGTGGTACGTTGTATTGTACCAATATTCTGCCCACGAAAGCCAACGGGACCAATGCTTGGGTTTAGAGCTACAAAAACACCGCAAGTAGGTCTCCACACATCTATTGACTACCTCTGTTTGACCATCTGTTTGTGGGTGGTAGGCAGAACTGAATTTCAGTGTAGTCCCTGATGCCTTGAAGAGTTCTTGCCAGAATTGGCTAATAAAGATTCTGTCTCTGTCAGAGACAATCGACTTAGGGAAACCATGGAGTCTTACAATTTCGGATACAAAAAGGGCTGCCACCTCCTTGGCATTGTAGGGATGGCACAGAAGGATGAAGTGTCCATATTTGGTGAGTCTATCAACTACTACTAGAATGGTATCGTGGCCCCAAGACTTAGGTAGCCCTCCAATGAAATCCATGCTAATGTCCTCAAATACTTGAGTGGGAATGGGTAGGGGCTGGAGAAGGCCGGCTGGTTTAAGGGCAGAGTGTTTATTGAGTTGACAAACGTTGCATCGCTTCACAAATTCTTGGACATCCCTCTTGATCCCTTCCCAAAAAACAAGGCTGGCTACTCTTTTATACGTGCGAAAGAACCCCGAATGCCCGCCACTCGGGCTACCATGGAACTCTTCAAGCAACTTGGGAATGAACTTGGAACTTTTTGGAAGAACAATTTTGTTTTTGTAAAGTAGGCAGCCTTTTCGGAGACGGTAGTGGGGTCTGCTAGTAGGGTCGAATAACAGATCCTGCATAATGATTTGTAGCTTCGGTTCCTGTTCAGCTTCAGAAGCTAATTCATCAAAGTCTGAAAAATGGATCACGGATATAGCAGTTAACTCACTTACCTCCTCTCTTCGGGATAGTGCATCTGCCACTTGATTGGATGATCCTGGTTGGTAGTGAATTTCGAAGGAAAATCCCATAAGTTTTGAAATCCACTTCTGTTGTTCTGGAGTTTTTACCCGCTGGTCCGTCAGAAACTGAAGGCTACGCTGATCTGTCCTAACAATGAACTTACGCCCAATGAGATTGTGACTCTATTTGTGAACAGCGAATACTATAGCCATGAGTTCTCGTTCATACACCGATTTCTGTTTTGCTTGACAAGAAAAAGCCTTACTAAGGAAGGCAATTGGGCGTGATTTTTGGACTAAAATAGCCCCCATTCCTTGCCCCGAGGCATCGGTATGTACTTCGAAAGGTAAGTCAAAATCAGGAATAGCGAGCACCGGGACCGTTGTCATTGCTGTTTTGAGAGCGTCAAATGCCTTTTGAGCAGTTTCAGTCCATTTGAAAGAATCTTTCCGAAGCAGTTGTGTTAATGGTTGTGCAATCAGTCCATACCCCTTGACAAAACGACGGTAGTAGCCCGTTAGTCCCAAGAATCCCCTTAACCCTTTTATGGTGCGTGGCGCTGGCCAAGATAACATCGAATCAATCTTCTGCGGTTCAGCTTCCACCCCTTTTTCTGAAATCAGATGGCCTAAGTATTCAAGTTTTGGTTGCGCAAATAAACACTTTTTATGGTTGACAACTAACTCATTTTCCTTGAGAATC